TGCAGGACGGGGGGGCTGCAGGACGGGGGGGCTGCAGGACGGGGGGGCTGCAGGATGGGGGGGACTGCTTTGCATTTTAACAGAGCTTTGGTTTATTCTCCTCGACACTCGTGGTTCCAGGACAAGATAAAAAAGTGCTTCTTTAACTAAAAGTCAGGATTGAGTGGATGAATCAGAGTTGGTGCCGTGAACGCAGCAGCCTCGTGTTTCACCTCAGTGGGAGAAGATATTGTTGGTTCACCAGAAAAAGAAATGATTCCTGTGAACAGCAGATACATCGAAGAGTTGTTGACGTAAATCAGCGCCGCGTCTTCACTCACAGCCGTAAAGAAGGCACTTGTTTAACTAACAAATAAACACACTAACAACCAATCACAGGTGACGAGCACGTGAACGCCTCGTCAGGGTTTCTGCTGAATGGACTCTTTCTGCTGACTCAGCTGACGGGTCACAGCAGACGGTCCAGACCGGTCGGCTTCAGGACAGTCTTCACTGAATCAACACCACAGCAGAACCTCTGGTCCTGGTCCTGGTCCTGGTCCAGCACACAGGTTTCATGGTTGTTTTTAAATCCAGCGTGCTGATTGGTCCAATCATCCTCCCCAGGTTTGAAGGAAACTAAAGAATGTGGTTGAATTCTCCTCAGGTCTAAACTTCCCACAGGTAAGTTGCTTATTCAGCTTCTAAGGCACTCTGCCCCTCCCCTTCCCTCCCCCGCCGNATGTGAGAGTTCTGCCTCGGACAACTGCTCCCCTGACTTCATTTGTCTCTTGGCAAGTTTGATGGCAGTGCATTTAAAAACCCATTCAATCTTATAAACCAAAAATTAAATGTAGTCGACTGTGATGGGCACTCAGTGCATCTGCTATTTATATGCTAATGTACACTCAGGCTGCCAAGGTCTGGCAAATTATTACTGCACAGCCATAAGTCAGGTGTATGGCAGGACGGGGGAGGGGGGGATGGGGGGGTGGTGTTAACCATCACAGAGAGGAGAGAGTGAGAGTGAGGGAGGAGGAAGTGGGAAAGAGAGGGGGGGGGGGGGATGTGGTGGTGAAAAAGCCTTTAGAGACGTCTCCATTGTCTTCACTGACAGGTTAATAGAACTCTCCACCTGGCTTCTAACACCCCCGCCCTCCCCCCCACTTTTAAAAGACTGATACAGAAAATGTTTTGGGAAAAACAGTGTGACTAATGTGACTATTACCAGAAGAAGAAGAAGAAGATGATCACGTTCATAAACAGTGACACCTTCTGGTAAAACGGCACCATTGATACGGTGTACGTTATATGAAGAAGAGAACAGACGGAGGAAGTGACATCATAACCAAGACCAACTGTCCAATCAGTCGACCAATCATGTGACCCAAACCAACGAACCTGTCACCAGGACAGAACCCAGTCCTGAAGGACGCTGGATCAACAGCACCACCGTCTACGACCTTTCCTGTCCTGAAGGTTTTGGCCCAACTGCAGTCCCCCCCTCACCTCACCCACCTCACCCCCCCACTCCCCACCACAGCATCCTTTTCCACTCAGAAAAACATTTTGGACATATTTATTTATGAGCGTCTGCCCACTTCCCGGGCTCTGAGCAGAACTAATATTATTTGGAGCACATTAGTTCTGCTCAGGAGAGTGACCGTGGGCTGGTGCTCGCTGATTTCAACACATTTACAAACTAATTAGGCCTAAAGCCTCCATTTCAGTCTGACCTATTCACAGCTTGATTTGCCACAACATCGCACATCTCTATTACCACCTTGCACCGCTATTCATTACAACATGGGATGGATCCCACGGGATCCTGGACTAATGAGAAAAAAACCTGCCGCCCCCCCCCCTCACTGCCTCTCCTCCACAGCTCTACCCCATTATACTGCCCCCCCCACCTGTCTCTGGGGAGCAGTCAGCTCATATGATGTATAAGGTGACATCTTTATTCCACTAACCCAGCCTGGCAGCTCTATTAGCCAGTCCACAGCTCCCCAACCTCAACTGTCTACTCCACTCCACGCCCCCCCCCCCCTCCCCCCAGTCTGTCTCAATCTGGGATCAAACTGCTGCTTATTATACACTTTTGGAAACTGCCACAGTTAAATTACACACTTTATTTCACCACAGGCTCTGTGAGGACACCTGCCCCGTCGGGGTAAAGGGCTCGGTGCCCCACTGTGGCCCACTGTGGCCCACTGTGACCCACTGTGGCCCACTGTGACCCACTGCGCCCCCCTCACCCCCCCCCGCCC